GCACCGCCCACGCATCCCTTATACTACGTACTGCACAGGCTCTAGCACGTCGGCAGAACATGAGTTTTGGAGACCTGCTTCTGGACGTGGTACAAGCTTTTTATCGGGCCATTCGTGAGCTCGTTGTACGTGCGTGCCACGAGACCGAGCTCGATGACGATACAGTTGCGACGTTGGTGCGAGCCACCGGACTACCGCCCTCTTTGATGCCTCAGCTTGCCTAGAGACTCAGTGAGCGGCCCGCGGCCCTCAACAGCTCGGATGTCGACCGACATGTGGTGGCCCAAGTCGGCCAATGCTACCAGGCCCCTTGGTTCGTCTGCGAAGGGTCCGATCAAGTCTCGTTCCCACAGAGATCCTTCTTTCCTGGGCAGCCCCTAGCTGACGTTCTATTTGAGCTACCGATCAAGGATATGCCCACCTTCTCTCACCACCGACAGGCATGTCGCTGGCAGCATTACTGCCTACCGACCCGATTGAACGACCCCAACCCACTCTACCACTACTCGATATTTCATATGCCGATGATGGAACCGTTATCCTAATCATGCCTGCGAGCCAGCTGTATGGTGGACTCAGCCGAGTTCTTGTATGTGTTTCCGAGGCGTTTGCCACCCGAGGACACAAACTCAACCTGGGACCATCCAAAACGGCGGCTTTGATTTCGTGGCGCGGACCCGGATCTAAAAAGGCTAGGCATGCCGCATGGCATGAATGTGGAGGACGCATTGTTGGCGTCTCGGATTTTCTGGGACGGATTCAGGCACCCATTGTACACAACTATATCCATCGGGGCTCGGTTTTCGATGCGGGAGGTGTCGTGACTCCAGAAATCCGTTATCGGTCGTCGTCATCGGTCGCCTCTCTGCAAGTGCTACGACGACGGGTGTTTGCCACCGATGACTTGGATGTGAGAGAGCGCCTTATTCTTGCAGGCAGTCTCGTCATGGCCAGTCGACGGTACAATGCAGGGGCTTGGCCCGCCCTCACTCGTGCCGAAGCCCATCTCATACACGTTGAGGTCATGAAGGTGTATCGAGCAGCCGCCCGTGTCAGCTATCGCGAGGACATTTCGCAGGTCTCTGATCAGTTGGTACTGGCACGTTTGCGTCGACCCTCTCCAGTCATGATCCTACGGGCCGCCAGACTTCGGCTACTTGGGTCCTGAGTCCACACAGGTCCCTCGGTCGTTTTCGGGCTTGTCGCGGCCGAGTGGCACGCCGCCGCCGATACGAACACCCAAAATCGGATTATCCTGGGATTTTGGTATGATGATCTCGGATGGCTACAACAGGCGCTCCCCACCCTGGGTGAGTTGCCCCTCCCAGCCGACGACTTTGCCGCATGGGGGTCTCGTATTCGTTGCAGTCAGTCAGCATGGAAGCGCATTATCCAGGCTGGGTAACATGCGCACGCGCAGTATGCAGCACGTGTGACGTTGGCGCAGCATGTCGAACGCCAGTTCTTCGCCGTTGTGAAGCCAGTCGGAGTGCCCGACCGTATCTACACTAACGAGCGCGGGCTCATCGTGGATCCCCCACCCCCTGCCGCACATCCCACGCATAGATGTCCGTGGTGCAGCACACAGTACTCACGCCATCGAGCCCTTCGGACACACATTGCGCGCGCGCATCGCCAGCTGTCAACACTCGCAAAGGGATACGCATGCCCCAGCGGCACATGCACTACGTGCCTCACTACGTTCTACGCTCGGGCGCACCTAGTGGACCATTTAGCATTGGGATCACCACGGTGTTTACTTGTGTGTTTGCTACAGACCAACAACCCAGCCCATCACCTGCAGCCACAACCCATCCCCAAGCCACCGGGCACTACCGCCCAAGTACGTATACCCCGACGGCACGTGGTCGTGCCCACTACCAAGGCGTCCGGCCCACTAACCGAGGAGGCCACCAACCACCTCCACCTTTCACAGCAGGACGCACGCATGGCCATACTGGAGGCTGACCCCTATCTTACTGACGACGCCCGAGCAGCCTTCCTACCACCACCAGCACCTCTGGCAGGACTAGATGACGTGGATGTCGAGCCCTACCCACCTGTCCAGACAGAACGCTACCCAACCCGCATGTTCCTACCCGACCAGTATACAGGCCTGGCGGCTCAGGCATTACCTGTTGCCATCAAGCGGGCCGAGTTATGTCCTCAACTTGTTTTGTGGGCGTCGGCGTCCAGGGGATATTCAGGCATGTTTAGAATGGACGCACTACGACGTTGATTTTACGGTCACGGTCCTGTCCATAGACATTGCTATCGATCCCGTCCTTGGGAATATGATGCGGCCCCAGACCTTGGAGGTTTGGAAGGAACACTTACGTGCGTGCAGGGTGGTCCTCTCTGGAGGTGGGCCTCCCTGCGAGACCTGGTCCGCCATCCGATGGGCTCGGGACATGGGGCCCCCACTACTGCGGTCCCGCGATGACTTCTGGGGTATGCTTGCCATTGCACCGCGTCAGATGGAGCAGGTACGTGTTGGCAACGAGCTCCTAGGAGCCATGATAGAACTTTTCGCCGTTCACCTAGCCGTCGGCACTTGTTGTTGGATGGAGCACCCAGTACCAGCGTCGTGGCGACAAGAGGCTGTGAGTTCATTCTCGTGCCCACCTTTGCGTGCGATCATGTCGTCCCCAGCGGCCTCTACAACCGATTTCTATCAGTGCGAACACGGTCAGTGTGCTCGCGCGCCTACACGAATTCTGGCCTTGAGGATGTGCACGCTGCATGATCGCCTTTTGGAAACGCCTGGCCGCGGACGTTGCTCACACGGTCGGTGCGCCCGCGAAGTGCTCTTGGGTTTCGACGGTTCAAAGGATGAATGGCGGACGGCCAAAAAAAAGAAGACAGACCCCCCCGCGCTTTGTCAGGTCTTGGCCCACGGTATCGTGGATGCGGTCAATCATAAGCGTGTGACGAGCGACCCTCACGCATGGCCCGGGGACCTGGAGGAGGAGGAAGAGGCACTCCGTGGGGCACTAGAGGCTTTTATGTCGCTTGGGACCCATATCTAGGCACGAACGAGGAGTGGGCCCCCGATTTCGTAGGAGCTACGAGGCGACGCCCACGCGCCGATCCTGAAAGCTCTAGGTTCTTGCCCCCCGAGCTTCCAGGTGAAAGGCCAGTTGCCGATTTGCCCGAACCGTCCCTTGTGCACGACCCCAGTGCCACTCCTCGGCAGGCAGGGCCTGCCGAGGCAGACGAAGAGCAGGAATACGCAGACGCCCTCGCCTTTCTAGAAGGCACAGCGTCTCCGTCACGCGTCGCCCCTGCCTCTGCTCCCCCTCCTGTGCCTACTCCAGTCCAGCTCACGGATGCACAGCGTGACATGATTCAACGCAAACGCGCTGAGGCCAGAGATAGACGTGAGGCGCGCCTTGCCGCACGCATAGCTCCATTTACGTTGCAGCCAAATTTCGGCAGCGGCATCTTGGGCTAAGTAGAAGGTTGGGTGGAGGATTGGGAGGAGGGTCAGGAGGGATCACGAGCGAGGGAGCGACCCCCCTTTTTTCGCTCTCTTGCTCTCTCACCGCCAGCCGCCCCTTCCCTTGCCGCCCCGCGCTTCTTCAGTCATGAAGGCTATCTATGTGGTGTTGGCCCCTCTCTACTAGATCTGCCAAGTACGTCAGATGCGGCTGAATTTCAAGCTACCCTATGGCTAGTGCTATGGATGTTGCAGGTCCTAGCAGATTCAGGTCCAGGCCCCTGGAGTTTCGGCCGAAGGAGGAACGCACTACTCAGAGATAGACGTAAGGCGTGCCTTGCCGCACGCACAGCTCCTTGGACGACGCAGCCGAATTTCGGCAGCGGCATCTTTCGCTAAGTAGAAGGTTGGGTGGAGGCTCAGGATCAGGTTGGGTGGAGGATCTGGAGGGATCACGAGCGAGGAAGCGACCTGCCTTTTTCGCTCTCTTGCTCTCTCGCCGCCAGCCGCCCCTCCCCTCGCCGCCCCGCGCATCATTTGTGCCCTCCCCGCCTGCCTCTCGCCGCGCTGATTGATCAGTCAGATTCGCTCCGACGTGCCTGGGTGTGGGTCAGGTCCAGGTGGCCCTGGCAAGCAAGCAGCCAGGGCCTGCGGGGCATGGACCCCCGCACACTTGTGTACGGGGCGACTGCAGTCCTCCCCCTGTCGACCGAGTGCGCCCCCCCCCTGCTGGTGCGGCCTCTCCTGGGCTGGCCGGTGGGGGGCAGCGCCGTATCGCCTCCCCCCGCCCGCGAGGTGCAGTGGCTGGCTCGCCAGCCTGCCAGCGAGCCTGCCCTCTCTCTCTCTCTCTTGTTTGCACGCTGCCTGCCTCTCTGTGAAGGGACGGTTTGCAAGGAGGATTTCAGATGGGTGCTGGGCGGGATTGTTCACTTCAACGTGCACGCTCTCTCGCGCCCACGACAGCGCCATTTTGGCAGCTCGTTGCATGGTGTATTCGTGGATCGGACGAGAGTGACAGTCATTTGTGATTGGTAAGGGGTTCTCTCGCCGGCAGGGATCCAGCGACACAAAGCCTGCAGGACCGCCTTCCTTTGTGCAGCCTGCCGCCCCGCTCGACCTAGCGCGGACCACGATTTTCAGTCGCTGCCGAGCGGGCCTGTGCGCCCACCGCCCTGCCGCGCGGGTTGAGCCCCGCGGCTGTCAACTGATGATTCGACTCTGCGTGTCTCGGACCGCGGTGCGTCTCGTCTGATGCGGGTTGGATTGATAGGTGGGAGAGTATGGGGTGTGGGTATGGTGTACTGGTACTGTATACTGCAATCCTTAGGTGCCCGTGCGATCCCGATATTTCAGTTGCATCGCTAGCCGCAGCGCCACCGTAACTCGACAGGCTAGTTGCCTCAACGAGCAGGCAATCCAAAAATCCTCTTCTCTTCTCCCTCCTCCCGCCTCCCTCCTCCCCCCCCATCCTCTTTTCTCTTCCCTCCTCCTCCTCCTCCTCCTCCTCTCTCCTCCTTCTCCCCCTCCTCCTCCTCCTCCTCCTCCTCCTCCTCCTCCTCCTCCTCCTCCTCCTCCTCCTCCTCCTCCTCCTACTCGGTCACCCCCAGGGGCGCGAAGAGAATCGCTCTTCGCATCGCGGCTTGGGTTGGGGAGGCGCCCTTCTCTTGGGTGGCCCCGCGTGGGCGCGAAGGTGACCGCGCGTCGCGCATCGCGGGGCGCTGCGCGCGAAGTTTCGCGACCTGAGGTACGTCAAGCCGGAATCGGCGATCCTCGAGCATCCCTCGTGGCCCCCCCCCCCCGAGGCGCAGGTCCTTGACAGCCTTGAGGAGGTGCGGGCCGACCTCTCCGGTTCGCTGGCCCTCGTGCGCAGCTCGATGAACGCGCTGCTCGGCGAGGTCATGCAGGTGAAGGTTGGCAGGGCCGAGGGCGAGCAAAGTCAGAGGAGGAAAACGCACCGATGCCGCTGATTGCCTTTCCCCGGTTTCTCCTGTTTGGGCCTCCTGGGAGGCCCCCGTCGCGTCGGCTGGATTCGCCTCGACATTCTGGCCAGAGCGCGCCCCGGGAGAGGTCCGTGGAGTGGCGGTCTGGATGTTTGTTTGTTTCCCACGGGCGGCGCCGCAGGCGCCACCACGGGTGTCCAGTGCAGGTCCAAGCTCCGCGCGGAACTCCGATTTGTTTGTTGTGTTCGTAGGCTCTTGGCAGGACGAGAGAATGACATGAATCGCAGGCGATTTCTCGTCCCCGACCCCGCAGTTCTCTCCAAACGTCAGGCCGCTCAAGAACGAAGGTGAATTCTAAACGCTTCGCGTATCCCCACCAGGTCCCTTCACGAAGGGGGCTCGTTTCACCGCAGTGACAGGCCCCGGCCTTTATACACTTGTCACCTTCTGGGAGTAAGGTGCACACGCTCACTGCGCTTTTTAGCCCGTGTGGTCTGGCTGCAATAATCCTGCCCGCGGCTCACTTTGGCTTTGTTCACGGGGACATGGGCCCGTTTCGCCCGCTTGGGCACTCACTTTGGATGGCTGGGGCGGCAGGCCGAAGGCCCCCCCCATGCGCTCCACACTCCCGCCGCCCGACGGCCTTGCCCGGGTGACGTTTCCCCCCCACCAGACGGCGCCACCTGCCGGCGGAAGGCCTAATACCTTTGGGCCACCTCCTGGGGACGAGGTGTACCTCTCTCTGCACTGCGTACTGGTACAGTGCTCGCCTGGGATGGTGGGGGTTTCCGGCCCAAGGCCCACCCCATTCGTTCCCCTCGACGCCTTCTGAAGGCTGGTCGTCTTGCCCAGTGGCTGTTCCCCCCACTTGACAAGCACCGACTGGTTAGTCAAAGCTTCCTAGTTCGGCGCCCAGTTTGGCAGGAACATGTTTGTGCCACCTTCTCTTTGGCAAGCGTGCTGCTTGCGGTGTGGCGATACCGCCTGCTGGAGCGCGACTGGGGCCTATCATTGCTGCCCTCCTGCTGTGCCGTTCTCCTCCTCCGCCTCCCCCCCCTCGCCCTGGTCTCTTCGCTCCTGCCTCCTAGGGTCTGTGCCGAGTCGGTTCGCCGAGGGACCGCGGTGCCTGGCCGAAGTGGTGCGGCTGGAGCGCGCCCGGCCGAGACGCCCAGCGTGGGCGGCCCTCCCTCTCTCATCCCTCCTCCTCGTCTTCTGTTCGTTTTCCCCAATTTGTTCTGCATGTGCACGAATTATCTGGCTCTGTGCCCCAGTTTGCCTGATTGACACGCCCTCTGGACTTTTCCTTGCGGGCCGCGGAACAAAAAAATATCCCCACCAGCCCATCAAGGAACGATGCCCAGGCAAGTTGAGGTGATCATGGAAGTGCGCGAGCAAAGAGGTGGACGGCCGGACCGTGCGAAGGAGGGAGGAGGAGAAGAAGGATTTTGGATGGATGACGAGGGAGTGGGGGGAAGAAATATGCACCTGATGGTGATTATGGTCATGATGATGATGGTGATGATGATGATGATGACGGTGACGATGGTAATGATGATAGTAGTATTGATGATGATCATGGTGCTGCTGATGATGATGATGATGATGATGGTGATGGTGATGGTGATGGTGATGATGACGATCATGATGCTGGTGATGATGATGCGGCTGATGATGATGCTGATGCTCATGATGCTGCTGCTGATGATGACGATGTCGATGATGATCATGCTGATGATGATGATCATGGCGATGATGATGATGATAATGTTGGTGATGATGATGATGCTGATGATGATGATGATGATGATGATGGTGGTGGTGGTGATGATGCTGAGTAGTAGTAGTAGTAGTAGTAGTAGTAGTAGTAGTAGTAGTAGTAGTAGTAGTAGTAGTAGTAGTAGTAGTAGTAGTAGTAGTAGTATAGTAGTAGTAGTAGTAGTAGTAGTAGTAGTAGTAGTAGTAGTAGTAGTAGAGGAGGAGGACGAGGAGGAGGAGGAGGAGGTGGAGGAGGAGGAGGAGGAGGAGGAGGAGGAGGAAGACAAAAAGTAGGAGGAATGGAGGAGCAAGAGGAGGAGGAGGAGGAGGAGGAGGAGGAGGAGGAGGATGAGGAGGAGGGCGAACAAAAGGGCCAAAGGTCTCTGGGATGCCTCTCGGGGCCTCTCGGGATATCGCTTGGGCGCTTCCTGGTGGTCCCTTGGAGCGTCTGGGCAGCATCTTGGGTGCCTCGGGGATCCTCTTGAAGCCTTTTGGGGGCCTCTTGGGGGTCTCTTGGGAGCCTCTTGGAGGCCTCTTGGGGCCGTCTGGGCGCCTCTTGGGGCCCTCTTGGGGCGCCCTTGGGAGCTTTAGGAGCGCTCTTGGGGCCATCTTGGAGGAGATCGATCAAAGAAGGGGCGTTCCTTAATTAGTGATCTTGGAGCGCGGATGTTTGGCCTCTTCGGGGCCTCCTTGGGGAGCTCTTTGGCCACTTGGAGCCGTCTTGGGGCGGTCTTGGGGCCTCTTGGAGCATCTTGGGAGCCATCTTGAGCGATCTTGCGCTATCTTGAGCCACCTTGGAGGTTAGCTTGGGCTCTCTGAGGCACTCGTGGGGCCACCTTGGGCCATCTTGGACGCCCCCACGCGTCGCGGGACGCCCCGTCCAGGTCCAGGGGGAGGGGGTATGGGGGAGGGGTAAAGCCCTCCCCAAAGGGGAAGAGAGGGGGTTGGAAGAGGAAGCTCCCTAGACAACCTACGCCCAGAGGGCTTGTGGGATTCGGGGACACATCCAGGGGGCCCATTGGTGTGCACCCCATATCGAGCATGGACGCCACTCCATCGCATATCCCCAATTTGGGTGTCATTTTTGTTGGCCCAGAGCTTAGCCGAACACCCAACAAAGTGTGGGATCTGGGCCGCCCCGTTGATGAGCAGACACGTCACGATTTTCACGTGGATTTCTAGGATCGGGGATAGGCCCCGAGGCGCCGCCAGGGGTGTCCAGCGCAGATCCAAGAGATCCGCGCGGATCTTCGATGTTTTGCTCTCTCTGCCGTTGTGAGGACCCACAGCACATGGCATAACCATAGTCGTTAGTTGAACGATGCTTTCATTGAATTTCCAGGTTCCAATTCTGCTTCAGGCGTCTTCCTACCTCAAAGGTCGGATGAGTTTCCGTGTTTCCCCTTGCCAGGGGGCGGACGAAAACCTTATCCTATCTAAAATAAATGTCTTCCTGCTTCATGCTTCTACCCACTTCTTCCGAACGATGGGTAAATTTTCGGAGGTCCGCGCGGGTTTCTTGGATCGGCGCTGGACCACTCTCCCTTGCAAGCGGAGAGCGCCAGTGGCGTTGGAGGCGCCGTCAGGGGTGTCCAGCCCCGATCCAAGAGACCCGCGCGGACCTCCGAAATGCTATCTTTGTGCAATTCTCCTTCCGCGAGAGAAGGATGGTCCAGCACGGGCAATCCAGAGGTCAATGCAGGATCCGTGTTGCACGGCTTCAGCATATCCCAAGTTACCTCGTGATGTAGGAGTTTCGTCATATCTTCCCAGATTTCCTGTCCCTCCGATCACCCCGTCGTCTCCTGTTTCCTTTGCGCTGGCCCCTTGTGCCCGAGTGGAGCTTGCGGCCTGGGCTCTGCGACATGGATCCGTGGAGAGAAGCTCTCGTGGGCTGCCGCGACGAACGTTGCTCGGTTGGGCTGTACGTTTTCTTGACACACATTTCTCAAGCAGTGCCTACCTTCCATGGTCTCTCACTGAAGCCCTCAAGCCCAGGGCTTGACCGAAACGCTGCTTTGCTGGACTTCGGCTGTGTTTTGTTGTTCGTTTTGGCAGGGAGGCACAGGAAAACAGGTGGAGCAAAACGAACACAAAGCGAAAAACATCGTTTGGGTCCAGCCCTGCCCCAATCATTGGACTCGTTTGCTTGTTTTTTGTCGTGGTTCCTCACAGTGTCCCGCCCATGGGGTCTGGCCATAGCTGTTCGCAGTAGTCGGCCTCCGGTTCCTGGCCAGGGTTGCCCCGGTATCTCGTGGCAAGCTGCAAGGCCTTGGCCTTGAGTTATTCGGGCATCGAGTCCATGCCATGGGGTCCTGGCCATGGCTGCCGCGATCTGCGGTGGTTGGCTATAGCCTACTTGCTATTGGTTCCTGGCCGTGTTATGTGTGACTTGTGTTGGTTGGCGGTATGTCCACAAGCTCCCAGCGCGTGGGTTTTCTCACTGTTCAGATGGCCCTGCTGGTTTTCCTGCCTTGTTTGCCCCGTTTGTCACGTTTGCCCTGGGTTGCCTTCTCATTTCTCCCCGACCTGATAGTTGCCCTGGCCCGTTTTCCACGGTTTGGCATCCACACGTTAGTGCCTTTTGAAAATGCACGAAGAGCCAGGGATGGCGGGGCGTCAAGCCGAACAAGACCTCGAGGTGTGTTTCATGACAGCGGCACGAACGACCTTATTCCCCAATCAGAGCTTGCCTCTGTAGGGGTCCTAGCGGATTAAAGGGTTAGGTGAGGTGCGTCGCCGATTTCGGTGGCCGGGCCCAGGTGCCCGGGTGCCCGGGTGCCCGGCGGTGCCCGGGTGCCCGGGTGCCCGGGGGTGCCCGGGTGCCTGGGGGTTTCCAATATCCCAATAGCCCAATAGCCCAGTAGCCCTATAGCCCTATAGCCCTATAGCCGTATAGCCCTATAGCCCTGTAGCACCATAGCCTTATATCCCTATAGCTCTAATAGCCTTATATCCCCATAGCCCTATAGCCCCATAACCCATATAGCTCTATAGCCCCATAGCCCTATAGCCCTATGGCCCTATAGGTCACAGTCCTACAGCCCTATAGCCCTATAGCCCGATAGCCATATAGTCCTATAGCCCGATAGCCCTATACCCCTATAGCCCGATAGCCCTATAGCCCTATAGCCCTATAGCCCTATAGCCCTATAGCCCGCCCTATAGCCCGATTACAAAGGGAGAAATGGGAAGATTTAAAACATCTCATTCGGTTTTTTCTCTGGTATCATGTGTCCTCCGTGGTCTGCTATGGTCCAAGAGGGTTAATGGAACATAGCTGCCTGGTCCCCAGGTGGGGGCCAGAGCCTGACAGATGGAGAAGGACATGGGCGAGTGCCCGTCTGGTGCAGCTGTTTGTTGTGAGGCGCCCAACGCCGTTGTGAGTCCTTTCTGGGGAATTGTACACGAAGCTCTCGGGGTCACCGCCTCCCCCAGAAGGGGAGTGAAGGTGCCTATGCTGATCTATCATTTCTTACTCAGCGCATCCGTCGCACTTTAGCCAACCCGCAAAGCACACATCAGTTCAGCGCAACGAAACCAATCGGCGAAATGTGTTGCCTAATGGATGGGTAATTGGATCCCCTCCCAAACCGTAGTTGACACAGTACGTTCCCCGCTGCAATCAGACGGGCCCTTGCCTCCGCGAAGATGCAGCAATCCAACTGTTTACCTGTTCGCAACCGTGCTGCCAACCACCGATCGTGAATCATCAACGCCGCTGGCGGCCAGCCGGCAGCACAAACAAATTTCAGCCTTCCGCCCCATGCATCAGACCCTCTAGCCAACGAGAAGGTCTGACGTGTGTCACCCCTGCGGGAAAGGAAGACCACTCAGCAGGGGGAGAGCCAGGTCGCCCCCCCAGAACGGCGTCATGCCCATGGCTCGCTATTCTTTGACGTCCGATGTCGCCGAAGAAACAGTTTTTGAAAAATCACGACCAGAGCCCTAGACGCCGTCTTCGGGCAGCATTTTGCCAGCTAGATCAATCTGCGAGGGTCCCAGGGCCCGAAACCGGAACGATCTACGATTTACAGCGCCCCGATCTCAGGGTGCCCGGCTCGCCCAGGATGGATTCTCGTGAGCGGCGGAAGAAAATGGGGTCGGCTTCGTCGATTTTCACGCGTGAGCTGCCCGCGTGAGGTCGCGCGTAAGCGCCCTTGCTTCCAATGTAGCGTGCCGCGCTGGCACAATACACGCCCATCCCATAGGGGGCTCTTAGGGGTTAGGACTGGCTATAGGTATGGGTGCGGGATGCCGGACCCCCGGGGGGGGGGGCTCCCGTTCGAGCGGGGACCCCCGTCAGACAACACGCACCCATAGCCTCTCAGCTGGGGGCCGAGTCGATGGAGTCGGAGGATCGCTCCGCATCGCCGATGCATCGACGATCCGGCTCGATATGGAGCCACGGTTTCTCCACGCCGATGCGTCGGGGATGCATTGGCAATGTGGCGCCATCATCCGACCCATCTACTAGAACCCCATCTAGGAGGCCTCTTTTACGACGTGTGTGTATGTGTATGTGTGTGCGTGTGCGTGTGGTGTGCGTGTGCGTGTGCGTGTGCGAGTGCGTGTGCGTGTGCGTGTGTGTGTGTGTGTGTGTGTGTGTGTGTGTGTGTGTGTGAATGCTTGTGTGTGTGTGTGTGTGTGCGTGTGCGTGTGCGTGCGCGTGTGTGTGTGTGTTGTGTGTTGTGTGTGTAT